GAGAGAGAGAGAGGGAGAGGTTTGGTAAGTTGTTAATCTTATTCTATTGAAGCAATGAATGAAAAGCCGATCACCTAGGCATACTTCTTGGTAAAACACCCAGGCGTGGTCTAGGCAGACACCATTAGGTAGAATAAGCTAGGCGTCCGCCTCAAACTTACCGGAAAATGTTTTTTGGGAGAGGATAAAATACGTAATTTTATCTCCTTAAAAGGGGAATAAGGGTTTGGCGGGCTATTCTTGCCCCAAAAAACAATTTTAGCGAACTTTAGAGTGATAAACAACTTGAAAAACAACTAGATTTGAATATTTTTTTAGAGATCAAATTTTTTATTTTTCGAAATCCTCGAATGTTCACTATATTAAAGCATATTCATCCCCAATCTTTTTGAGGCTTATAGGGGTTGTAAAAGAGGAGATTTGGGATCCCAAACATTTTAGTTTAACACAAAATCGAGTGCACTTCAAGTAGGTTGGTATATTTCAATAGTTTTTATTAGATTTTGTATTTTTTCCCCCTTAATGTCTAATGATATTATTATTTGCTATTTGTATTTTGTTTTTTATACTTTGTGATATATATATTGATATGTTAATTGCATATTTGGATTATTATTTGGAAATATATCTCTATACTCCCCATTTTTAAGTTTTATATCTCAATAGACCCAAGGTTTCAAAACATATATTGGATCATAAAAATTCTAAGTTTTGTATTTTCTAACCCTCTAAGCTAACTTTATCTTTTTTAAACCTATTTGTTTGCCCCAAACAAATATAGTAAAGATATATCCTTCCTAAAAACCATCATTTATCTCTCTTCATATGATTTTCTCCTAAATCTCTCTCTCCATGACTTTTCCCAAACCCTTTTTCTCTCTCTCAATTTTTCCACTCCCCCTCTCCATGATTTATTTTTCTTTATATATTTGCTTGATTTATGTGGATTTTTTCTATTAATTAGTTGGATATTATTCGCATGGATGATTAACTGTATGTAGATTGTGCCTTTTTTGGAACCCAAAATGAAAGAGAGGGGTTTTAGGAAACACAGGGCAGAAAGAGAGCAAGAGACCTAGAGAGAGAAAGTGGGGAAAAATAAAGAGAGAGAAGGGTTTGGGGAGAATCTCAAGGACGATAGAGAAATAGAGAAATTTGGAAGGAATATATCACATAAAGAAAGGAAGAGTTTAGAATGAGCATGTCTTTTTATATTTGTTATAGCTAAAAAAATAGTTAAAAGTGGATAAAGTTAGTCAGGGGGTTAGGAGATATATTTTAAATCATTGGTTCTATTGAGATATAAAAACCAAAAATAGGGGGTACGGGGATATTTCTCCCTTATTATTTTTCATTTGGATATGTAGTTTATGTCTTTGGAAAAGCAATTTGATAAAAAATCCATTACCCCCAAATCGAATGAATATTATTTTTTATTTTTTATTTCTTTTAGTTGTATACATGAATTTACTTATATGATTCATAAACCATTTTTATTTTATTAGTTAGTTTAATAATTGCTTAATGGTTATTAAATAATGGCATTTTTTCGATTTATTGATTCATAACCCATAATTTTTGTTATTTGCTTAATGCTTATTAGATAGTTGCAGGGTGAAGAAGACTTTTTGTAGTTTGTGATATTTGTTGGGCGGATATGACTTTTTGCTAATGACTTTTGAAACTTTTATTGTTGCTTTTGAGCAGTGTTCGCAAAATCGGATTGGAATGGTTAACCAGACATGGGCCTGGAAGTGGTTTAATCGGCCTAACCGGTAAACAGGCTGATTCAACTGCTCTAACCGGGTAAGTCGCAGGCAGTAAAAAAAGTGTTGAATTTTTTTTTTAAAAAAGTAAAAAAAATCTAATAAAATATGAAAAACATATAAAATAATGATTAAAACAAAAAAAATTCAAATGACGTTGAAAATTAATGAAAAAAAATGGATTTTAGCCCATTTTATATTTCTAAGGACTATTTTTAAAATTTTCTAAAAAAGATGGGAAAATATAAAGTGAGTATTAATGAACAAAATAATTTTTAATCTTTACCATAATGTAAAGAATATTTAAAAATGTATTACAAATCAAATTCCTTATTTTTGAGAATTTATATACATTTTTTTGGAATTTTTTTTAAATACCGGTTGATCACTAAAACCACCCAAAACAGGTGCCCGGTTCTGATCTAACCGGCCGATTAGCGGTTAGATCGGCCGGTTTTGTAAACACTTCTTTTGAGTTATAATTATTTCATTTTCAGTCCAAAGTTGTAAATGTGTATGTTTGATCCGTGCTTCCGACATCTTAACAATAGAATATATACAAAACTAACTTATTAAATAAAAAAGTAGACAACTCTATATACAATATAATGGGGGGAGGTGTGGGGGGATCCATTTTTTTTTTTTAAAAAAAAATACCGGCTGCCTTTGGGTTTGGGTGCCCACCTTAGCGTCTGGGCGGCCCAGACCCCTCACTGCCTAGGCAGCTGCCTCCGCCTTATTGAATATTGTATTGAAGAAAGATATACCTCAAATTATGATGAAAGATGCAATTTCGGGATTAGAAAGCCTTGCAATAACTCTCCTAAATATAAAACATAAAGAATAATCTATATGCAGTGGATACATAAACAATTAAGAGTTTTGAAAATGAATGGTCCAAATAATGCATTACAAGATGCATTGTTTCATGACTTAAAATCCTTTAATTTTTTTTTTCTATACATCTCAAGGTTGACATGAGCAATTTGAAAGTATTTTTAACATCAAAATATATTTTTCCGATTACTTTTTAAAGTGCGCACATCTCAATAGTATAAGGTTGACACCTCATATAAACTTTTTCCATTAATAATTTATAAATACGAAGAGAGTAGAGAAATTCCTCATGAGAAAAGGGATTTCCACTCATAAATAAAGAGATAGATATGAGTTTATTATGTAGAAACAACATGAAAAGAGTTTACTTCGTAGAAATCTATTGCAGTGCATTGGGAGAGTGGATGCTCTAGCTTTAACATACTAGAGAAGAGAGAGTTTATATAAAAGAAAAAAGAGATTTCATTTTGTAGAACCATCCAAAGAAAATATGTGTTTATTGTAGAAAGAAATAAGGAGGAGAAGTCCGGGTCAGTGCAGTCAATGGGCCGGGTCTGTCCTGGTCGTAGCCCAGACCTATTCCCCTAAAGGTTGGCCCAGACCTTGCCCTAGCCCTATCCGGGTGAGAACGAGCCAGGCCGCACCGACCTTGTGCCCTAGCCCTATCCGGGTGAGAACGAGCTAGGCCTCATCGATTAAAATTAACGGGAAACAATGCAATAAAGATGAAAAAAAATAAGGATCTGTTCAGGTTGAATCGGACTGGGTCTGTATTGGCCCAGCCCAATCCTTGAGCCACATTTTATAGATGAGACCCTAGTTTTTTAAGGCCGGGCCAGGCCACTAGGCCCATTGCCACCCCTCGTGGGTAGAGGTGAGTTTATTTTGGATGAACTCAATAGTTAATTTTGTGGAGAAAACAAGGGAGAGGCAAATGAGATGAAGTTGGACTTTTAAGAGAGCAAGGGTGTGGGTTTGCGAAAACAGGATGGGAGCTTCAACAAACGAAGGGGCACATGACCCTTACATCCATCCGTGCGGCCTATTTCTTTCTATTATTATACACCCGCTTCTCTTCTCTCTTCCCGTATAAAAGGGATAAAATCGGCCTTCTCTCACCTAAGAAGAGAGAGATAGAGAGAGAAGATAGATCTCCAGAGAGAGAGAGAGAGACTTCGAGAGAGAAACCCCGAGAGAGAGGAGAGAGAAAGAGAGGAGGAGAGAGAGGGGGAAAGCGTTTTCGGTTTTTTCCGTTAGATGCCTCTGGTTTTACCCGGCTCTTCTCTTGCTCAAATGGCTACAGACGAGGAGATTGTTTCAGGGCTCGAGACCCTTCTCAGGCAACAGCAGGTCGACCCTTCTCTTCTGAACTCCACGAGCATCAGAGAACAACTCGAGGCCAAGCTAGGGTATGACCTAACCCATAAGAAGGCCTTCATTCACTCTCAGATTGACCTCTTGGTTCACTCGAACCAGGCTCACCACCACCACCACCAGCAGCAACGAGCTCAGGCTCGCCCTCCGCCTGCTCATATTGGTCATGGCCATGGTCATGGTGAGCTTGGCGGGTTTTCTGCGGCGCCCCCTTTCGGTGAGGCTCACATGGCTGCCTTTGATTGTGTGAGCCCTGTGCCTCAGCAACAGGCCCCAGTAGTTCAGCAAGAGGCGCCTAGAGAGAGGTTAGGGTTTTCTGGCTCTGGGGTCACCCTTGCTTTGTTACGTCCTTGTGCTTTTGTGGTTTTCTTGCTTTGATTGCAGAGATGGTTGTTGTAGTTTTTGCTATTTCTATGGCTTTTGCTTCAATTGGATAAATGGTTTTGTCTTTACCTTTCTATTTGTGTGGTTTTTGGTGTTATTACAGAAATGGGGTTGTCTTATTTTTGCCAGTCCCCCTTGTCATTCTCCTGCCATTAATCCCTCTCTCGTTGCTACTTATGTAGTTTTTGTTTCAATTGCCCTTGTAGGGAGGGGGGGGGGGGGTTATGCTCTTATTATTATATTTTTGAATTACTATTTCTCTAGTTTTCAATTGCAGAGTTGGGTTTGTTGTTCTCTCTCTGCTATTTCTGTGGTTTTTACTTCATTTCCAGAGCGTGGCTTGTCAATTTTATTCCTATTTTGCAAACATCACAGTTCTTGTTTCAATTCTAGAAAATATTTTGTAATTTATATTCTATTTGGCTCTTTCCTCGTTTCACTTCAAAGTTGAACATGGTTTTTTTCAAACCTGCATCTTATTTAATGCAAATACTGTTGCAATACCATTTATTTGAAAATATTGAATTTGGGTATGGAGAACATGTTAAATATTAAAGAAAGTGGGAGCCAAAGCTCGCAGAAAAGTGACAGTAGGATGCAAACTTACAAAATTTTCACCAGTAATGATATTGGTTCTGTTGTCTTCAGCATTTACATTTCTTTGGGGATATTTGGGGGATTCACCCAGTTAAATATTTTTATGTTGTGACACTCATTAGGCCCTTTTTGGTAGTCTCTGTGGGTATCTTTTCTTTGTATCCAAATGGTTTGCTTCACTGTTTTCACATTACAACCACTATATAAAGATGAAATTAATAGATTTCCGATTTGTTGGTTTTTAAGACCATCAGTAGAAACTGCAAGACTCTGTCATTATCAATACTTCTAGAAGGAAAACAGTGCGCTGGACGTTTTGAATTTAGGGTTCACGTATTGATATGTAAACACTAGTATTACCCTGACACTTCACTTGCCGTGTCAGTTTAGGCACTTTGACCCTTTCGTAACCGTAAGACACTTGTTAATATCATGTATAATTTTTGGTGTTAATATTATGATAAATTTACAAGACTATTTTGAATTTTGTTATAGTTCAAATATCTTGTTGTTATTTGTACGTTTTATATTACGATAAGTGTTACTTTAAAAATTATTATCGTAATAAACTGTGTAGGATGATATAGACATAAATGAAATTTCTTTTGTCCAAACAAAATATTATGTATAAATATATGTTCAATAATTCGATAGTGATATCACATATATATTCATTTTATTTTTTGTAGTTTTTGTTTTTCATTAACTGACTAAGATGCCGTATTGTGTGATTGATAATCTCTAGTGATGTACATGCTTCCTTAACATGCGTGGTTGAAGTAATGTAAAAAAAAAAAAAAAAAAAATCCCCATCTTTACTATGCTAGATTTGTTAATGTATCTTCCAAGTCAATTGTTTAGGAATCGGAGGGTCCTATGTTTCGCATAAGATTATCAATAGGATCTATACAGTTTCTTACTTGGTATGAGCAGATCCTCTTTACCTGCATCATAATCATGCTCCTAATATTTTGGTATGTTCACATGGTGCTCTTGCCCAAGTCAATGATCCAAGTATTACTTGAAGCACCTATTTGCTGCCATTTGAGATGAGAGAAGCTAAGGAAGAAATGTTGATTTATTGTAGACTGATTGAAGATCTTGCGAAAACTGTTCTTTGACTTAAAACTTCTCGAGGTCAATTCAGACCCATCTGACATTTAGACTAATGGGTTAGGTCAGCAACACAATTTGTTATAATACTTCCTCCTGACTCAAATGGTTGAGTGCATCATGACATTAAATCATTATACGCGCTAGGTCGAATTGCTTGTGATTTGTCATTGCAATTAAATTGTCACGCATGTGCCTTGTTTCTATGATTTTGTTTACTCAATCATAAATTGTATTTTCTAGCTATTCCTTTAATTGTAAAGATGGGTTGTCTTCTGTTTGGGTTATTTTGGTTATTTTTGTAGTTCTGCTTCAATTATAGAGATGAAGTTACCTTATTCCTTCTTTGCCGCTCTTCTAGACTCTCTTCTTCACTTCATTTCTCTATCTTTCCCATGTGATTTCTATTTCAATTGGAGATGTGGCCTTTTTCTCTTTTCTTTGAGAGCGATATTTCTAGTTTTTTCTTCAATTGCATAGATGGGGTTGTTGCTTTCTTATATTTTTTTTCCTATTTTTCTAGTTTTTGCTTCTATTCCAGGGATTGGATTGTCGTCTTTTTCCTCTTATGCTATCATTCCAGTTTTTCTTCCATTATAGCGATGGGTTTGTCATTTTTTAACTTTTAGAGTCTTTCCAGACAAGAAACTGTCATCCTTCCTGTTCACAATTGCCGCAGCAATACCTTTTCTTCATAACAATGTCTAGGATCTCAGCTTGGGCTCGAGAGCTGAGAAACTAAGGTGAGTTTGAGTGGACTGACCTGAGTCCTGGCCAGGGCTACATAAGTATCAGAAAAATTATAAAAATTAGGGAAAAATCCCAAAGAAAGCAAAAATAATTAAATAATTTAAAAATTATAGAAGATAAAAAGCATTGATTTGAAAGGAAACTTAAAAAAATAAAATAAAAATTCTTGAAGCTAATTTGAAAAAAAACACTAATCAAGCCGCTTGAGAGACAAAATAATTATGGCATTTCGGGTGAGGTGTCATCATGAAGCTGGAGCTCAACTCATGGATTCTCGACCTTCTCTGAGTGTGAGGAGCTTTGGTGGCCTTTTTCATTGTCAATGGTAGTGATGGGCTTCTCATCATTCCTGAGGGAGGGTTTTATGGATACCCTTTCTTCACACACCACTTGGACAGATTTTATGGCTATTTCTTCTTCACATGCCACTTGGACAGAGGAATGTATTGATGCCCAATAACCTATCTGCAAAGAGAATGTTCAAGAAGGGAGTGGACTGCCTGAATTACTGAGATTAATAGAGAAGATAGCAGATACACTTTATCTAAAAAAACCATAAAAAATCCTCTATATATATATATATAGTAGGGGAGGGAGGGAAGGGAGGGAGGGAGGAAGAGAGAGAGAATCTGCCCCCTTCTATTTTTTTTGTTCAAGTAACAGTACTCGGATGAGTCGCTACTGTGCTTGCCTGAGTTCTGGTATTTCGTCCCTGAGCATGCACAGGAATACTCATCTCGGCCGGTTACCGAGTCCGAGTCAACTAGCGGAGTTTTTAAACCCTGCTTTAAAAACATTCAATTTGGGGGTGCAAAGATTATGGTGAAGGAAATAGGAGCTAATACTCGTATAGTGTTGGGCTCTTTAGTTTTTTGGGGGATTTTGGGATTTATAAGTCTCTTTTGCAAATAAAAGACTTTAATGTTGTAAGCCTGAGTAGGCCTCACTGGTACCATATAGGTGGCTTTGTTTTTGCGTTGTCTTTTCCTTTATTGAAATGGGTTGCTTCATAGTTCACTGATTGAATTTAACAGCTCTCAGATTGGGTAATAAAAATGTAGGTCAAAAACAAGGTCGGCTATCACATTTTGTGCTACAATTCTGCATGAAAGGACTCTGCTTTTAAAGCCTTTGTTCTGCTACGATTGAAAGCCTAGACTACAAAGAATTAGAAAACCAAATCCCCAGTTATTTGTAGTTGCTTGGGTACTGGAAACTTTCTCTTTGTCTTGGGGTCTGAAATTGATGCTGGGAGAGTTCTCAGCTTGGGATGGTGTCAGCTTGGGATGGTGGCAGTTTAAGGGTTCTTTGCTCACCCTGTTTGTCTGGGAGCCAGATATGTCCACCCCAATTATCAAAAACAAAGGTGCTCCAGCACAGTAATAGCCATCCCTTTACATGGATGGACCTATGACGTCCTGTATGATATTGGAAGCAAACGTGGAGAGCTTTTGAAGTTACATAGGTAAACACGTGATGGTGAAAGAGTGGAAGTCATCCAGAGGGGATTGAAATGCCTGAAGTGGAGAAACCCTCTGTAAGTCATCCTGAGACTGGAGAAAATGATATTAGGATTGTGCTTGAAGTTAAAAATGGCAGAAAACAAGGGGAGGTAACAGGAAACAGGCATAATCTGACCATCAGAGAAACAAGATTCTCACGAAAAATGGGGTGGTAGGGGCTTGGATACTGGTCAGTAGCAGATTGAGTGACTCTCTTCCAGAAAAACTTAGGTCAATTGTTCACTGGAATCTCCAAGCTGGAGAAATAATGTCAATGCTGTGGAGGGCCAAAATTTCGGTAAGAAATTTTCTAGAAGATTTTGCAACTTGGTAGATGCTGTTTTGGCTGCTTGCTAGACAGTTCAGCGAGAGAAAAAAATGGTAGACAGTTCACCAAATGAAACTGAAATATTGGGCCCAGAATTAAATTTTGGACCAATGTGGACACCAGGTCCATTGTTTACCGAGCCAGGCCCTAGCCATTTGCGAGCTTATTTTGACGTTTTGTAAACGAGAAAGCCAGGCAACAACTCCCCTATGTACCGATCGCAAGCGCATCCAGGGCCCTGGCGCCCGGCTCCGCCGGAGAGGCCCTTGCCTGATCTGAGAAATGCTAATTCGGTTCGGAGAGACTGAATTCAAGCATGCCGCTGCCCCTGGAATCCAATAAGACCAGTGCTTCATACGATATAACAGGACCTTGCTATCTAATTTAATAAAGGGAAGACGTTGCTTGTTTCGTAAGGCACTTGCTGATATCAAGTATAATTCTGAGTATTTTTTATAAATATTAAAATTTTAATTATTAATATTATAATCAATTTAGGGATAATTATTAATATATAATCAATTTGGAGGATACCAATTCAAATCAAACACAAGTAAATTTATTAAAATCAAATATTATTTCCAAATATGGTTTTAATTTTATTAATGACACTACATATATTTTAGTTTATTTTTTGTACTATATGGTTTTCTTAAATAAAACTTTATTTATAGTCTGTTATTTAGGATTCATCAGGGTTCTTCTCTGTTCCCTGAGTTGTTTCATGGTAACTTAATAAAACTTTTCTTTCTTTTGCTAATTAATTATTGAGCTGCTAAAATATGATTTGGTTAGGAATAGTGATGTCTTACATTTGACACAATTTATGAATGGGATCTATATAGTCCTTTACTTGGTTGGTATGAAGAGATCCTCTTTAACTTAATCTTTTCTGCTCATAATCCTTTGATATTGTTTACATAAAACCTAGCCAATATGTTCCAGATCTTACTATTTTTTGTAGTTAACTGAGATTGAAAGAGTGGTAAACATCAAGTTGTACTCTGAAAATTGTCAAGTGAACTGAAATATCAAGTTGAGAAAGGGAAGAAGAGAGAGAGAGAAACAGGGAATGAAAGAAGAAATAGAGAGACTGGTGAAAAAGGATGAGGGGCTGGCAGGAGTTAAGGTCAAGGCTCATCATGCTCTTGCAAACTTGCCAAGCGAGCCCCATCCTTTGCAACTCTCTGTATGTCATTGGTCTCTCTATAAATGTGGTGGAAAGTGCTATCCAGGGTTCCAAACTAAGATGTAGTATCTCTTCTATTGTGTCTGCAATATGCCATGGTTACTCATAAGGACTCGTTTGATATTCTAAAGAAGCTGAACAGGTGAATTAAAAATAGAGGGTTTAGCGGCAATGTTTTTTTTTTTTTTTGAGAAACAATCATCATAAAATAATGATGATGATTGTTTCTCAAAAAGAAAAAAGATGCGTATGAGTAGCGTGCACAAGACCTGGCCTTGGAAGGTTCGATCTGGGACACGGACTCGAGGTAATTTTAATATATACAGACAAAGAAGTTGAAATGGTTTTAATACCAACTGCTTTTGGTCAATGACCAGAAATGTCCTTTTCACTGACAGAAGACATCATTAGAAAAAAATATGGACATTATACAAAACACAACATTAAACAAACATTTGTTTATCTTCTTATTCTTTCCTGCAATTTGTGTTTCTTTTTTCTCCTTTCTATTTCAATCTATCTTCTTCAATATTCGTAAGTTTCTAGGTTAACTTTATCAAAAAAAAAAAAATCATAATTTTCTTCCTCTGGCATTATAGAATGACAGTGCATGGTTTTGTTCTTACTTGTACTATGTGGTTACCGCCTTAAAAATATTTTGCTGTTTCAATCATGCTAGAGAAATGATTCTCTAACTTTAGAACAGCCTTTCCGTTATAAAAATTGTTAATGATAAGAATAGTGGAATTATACATCACTGGTAAAAAAAAAGAAAATAAAATAAAAAAGAAAAATAGTAGAGTTAAACTTCCTGCATAGGATTTGTGGGACCAGAACCATGAGAGATGAAAATGAAAGTTCCATCATCGACAATGAGACTAGGGCCATGCAAATCAATATGAAGATTTTGTTTAATCAGCTCTAAATAAATGCGCGAGTTAGCAGTATGGTTGTGCTTGTATAAGTTAGCAATGGGTTCTTCTCGGTAGATCAGGCATGCAAGAGAGATAGAATCATGCATCAGATGGAGTTGAAACTCACCCTTTAAGGTGGAAATGGCTGAATTTCATGCCATGAATTTAGGAGATAAGGGTGATCTTATGATGATATGTGGGGTCAGTTTTAATGTCATCTGGTGCAAACCTTGGTATTTCAGATATGTCCCTACTTTCTACTGGTGATTCGTCCTAGTTGTTAAGGAAGCCTATTATGGGACGGACCTCTGGTACTAAAGTTAACAGCTGAAGAACATGAAAGTGAGGATGGTTAATCTTGAGAAGAGTTGAAGCAGGTGTTCCTGTGCTACCATTATTGAGGAAATTAGTGGTAGTGTTCCTTTGCTGGAGTAGGAAAGATAGGGATTAAAGAGAAGTTTGGTTCTAGTGAATTTCGTAAATCTAGGAAAAGTGCTTCCAATGGGCCTCTCTCTCTCCTCTTTCTCAGGGATGAGCAAGAGTTTATCTGAGATAATGCTTGAAGGCAACAAAATTGGGAGAGATTGTCTTGGTAACTAGTCAAGTGTGCATATAATAGAAGACATTCATCTGCAAGAGAGGAGTCGGGTTGGAAATGATAGAGGGAAGGAGGGTTTTCAAGGACTAGTTTAATTGGGATGATTGCAGGCTTGTAATCAGTTGTCCTGCAACCAGTCTGGAGTTCTCCTGCTGAAAGATGTTGAGTGCGCTAGATATCTTCAAGAAAGGGAGGAAATATGGACGCACCCATGATAAGTTTGGAATCTAAGAGAAAACTGAGATACATCCCTTGGTGGCTGAGACTTTTTTGTTTTTTGATGAAGTAGACTTTTGTATTAATAGAGAGTATAAAGGTATGGTGGCGCAGACTATTATGTTTATACTAGTGTTTATAAACTCAAACTTGGTGGTCCATTTTTTCCCCGCCAACCAAGTTGACCCCACCCTGTTGAACACTCATATGCAAAAATTCATGCAAGTTCCATTCTTTCTTTCTCGTTTTTTTTTTTTTTGGTGAAAATACAAATATACCAAATTTGTGTATGATGGACTTTGAACTTAGTTACGGAGCACCTTCCCTAGGGGTGTCGCCCCATGGACACGGTTCCATGTTCCCTGAGCTGACCCTCTTTGGGAGGTCGCTCCTGATTTTATAGGATCTCAAAACCCATTTAGCATGGGATCTCAATCCTTAAATTGTGATCTATAGTTATTGGATATATGATTAGATTACCTTTTTTTTGTGGTTTTTAATAATTGATATATTTGTCTATTATAAATATGACTATGGTCACTGTCTTACTTTACTATATTAGTGTTTGCATGCATGCGTGCGTGTATCTATATATGTTGGTTTTACGCCTTATATTGACAGGAGACCAGAGATAGCTCTCAAGGTATCATGAACAGAATAAAAAAACTATGTTGGTTTAAGGATAAGTTGTAGTTCCCTTTCTTGATCTTAATTTTTTAAAGCACTTTCTCGCTATTGAAGTTCCATGGTGCATGAATGTATGACATTAAACTCTAGGATACCTGACTTTTCATTTATAAAACTGTGCAAGTGATTAAACGAGTTTTCCTAGTTGAAAGTGATTTTTGTATTCTTTAGTTTATATCTTTTTTGGAAGGGTGGGCCAATTCATGTCTTTTGTTGCTAGGGTTTCTAAGGAGCAAAAGGGGCAAGGCAGTTGTTATTTGTTAGTATTGGGTTGAGTGTTTGGGTTAGAGCTAGTTCATCTCATATATAATTAACTATACTCCAATTGCCATTTGATTATGCAATACGGTCATCCAATCAACAATTGACAATGGGAAACTGCAAAATGTTGGGTTTATTACTGCCCAACAAGATGATGGAAAATGATGGGGAGAGATTGAGAACCACAAGAACAAGACATGATCCCAATGTGCAGCTTAGGTGGAGGGCAAAGAAGGCCTCCTTCTGAGGGGGCCCGAGCCATAAGTGAGATACCACTCTGGAAGAGCTAGAATTCTAACCTTGTGTCAAGACCTACGGGCCAAGGGACAGTCTACCAGTAGATAGTTTCTATGGGGCGTAGGCCTCCCAAAAGGTAACAGAGGCATGCAAAGGTTTCCTCGGGCCGGACGGAGATTGGCCCTCAAGTGCAAAGGCAGAAGGGAGCTTGACTGCAAGACCCACCCGTGGAGCAGGGACAAAAGTTGGCCTTAGTGATCCGATGGTGCCGAGTGGAAGGGCCATCACTCAACGGATACCTGCTCCTCCTGTACTGTCCATTATTTAATGTAGCGATATTTATGAAAATATACGTGGGAGATTTACTTTTAACATTTTACTCATATCTTTTTCTTTAATTTCAAAATATCCATCAAAATACGCATCAACATGAGTTGGAATGGTTGAAATTGTTAATTTTTAAAAGTTAGACGTATTTTGATAAATTTTCCTTTAATGTAAGTATGTTGATCCAATGATCCCAATGAACTACACTTCTCCACAGTGAATACAATAGACTATGTAAGCTTGCATTTGGGATGTGCAGCTTAGAGGAACCAAGGTTGCATACCATTAAGTCCAAAGATTTGGCTCATTTATGCTTCTTGTCCCCTTGGATAGTCCATATGTTAATTTCTACTGCTGTTGCTCTGATGTTCTGTCATCTAACCAATCAAACACTCAAATTGAATAAGATGTTTTATTTGACCTGTCATACAATGTACTTATGCAGCACACCAGCCACCACAGGCAAAAGAAGAGGGGGACCTGGAGGCCTTACCAAGATGTGTGGTGTCTCACCTGAGCTTCAAGTCATTGTTGGGGAGCCAACCATGCCAAGGACTCAGGTTCCTTGCTTTGTTCTTTTCCATTATTTTTTATCTCAAGTGCTTAGTATGTTGCTTTAACTCATCCTTTCACTGCATATTTACTAAGCCTGGTTGTACTTATCTTATCCGGATCCAGATTGTGAAGCAATTATGGGCGTACATTCGGAAAAACAACCTCCAGGATCCTAGTAATAAAAGGAAGATCATCTGCAATGATGCACTGCGATTGGTGTTTGATACAGACTGCACTGACATGTTCAAGATGAATAAATTGTTATCAAGACACATTCTACCACTTGAACCTTCAAGTATGTATTACTATTTTTGTTCTATACATGATATATTTTATGAGGTTTCATAGAAGTGGCTGTTAATTGAACTGGAACAGAAAGATAAATAAAAGAGTTGACTTAAATATTTATAGCTTTTAAAGATTTCAGATTCTGGGTTGCTTTGTTTTGCAGAAGATTCACGTCCAGATGCCAAAAGATTGAAGGCAGAGCCTCAGTCTTCTACGAAATTTACTGAAGCTGGCCCCCCTCCTGGAACAATATCTGGTGCCCTTGCAAAGTTTTTTGGTACTGGAGAGACCGAGATGTCACTGTCAGAAGCTGTGACGCATGTTTGGGAGTACATAAAAGCTAACCATCTGGAGGTTTGTTCTTGACTTCACAAGTTCATCACTTTGTTTGTTAGTGGAAACATAGTATAACACACGGTCATTGGCTTATCTCTGGGCATTGAAATGATTGATGGTGATGGAGACCATGAGATCAATGTGAACATGGCGTAACCTTCGACGGTACCCACTGTCTTACTATCTCCATCATTGTTCATTGTTGCAGCAGATGATGATGAGCCACTAGACCATATAATCCAAAGTTCTGTGGATTATAGTGTACTTCCTTTCTTTTCTGTGGTATGCGACTAAGTTAGATGCCATTAATAGTGGGAAACATCTTATAGGAAGCCACTTTATGTCTTTACATCTTTACATCATTTCTTTCTTGATGGTTAAAGTTGAACTTTCTATTTGCTGGTACAATAAGTTTGGCGTTCTTTGTGGTTTGGGTGAACTGTTTTGGTTTGGTTTGTCTGCTATATATTCTTGTGTATTTAGTAGGACCCTAAGATGAACATCCACTGTAGTTTGAGGTGCGTCGTTCTGGTTTAGTTTGTTTGCTATATCTCTTGTTTCCATGTGTTCTTTGATTGTCATCTCTGATTTCCTATGACTATTGCCAGTTCTTTTAATTGAAATTTATGGTAAGAAGATTTTTCAGATTAGTATGCTTATTGCCTTTCCTATTTCCTTTTGTTTATTCATTGTGAAGCTGGGTTTGATCAAGCGTGCACATACTTGGTGAAAAGGCTACAAGAACAAAAGTCTAACACAAGGTTTAAAAAATCGGTGACCTGATCCGGAATTGGGCAATCTCGATCGGGAATCGCCTAGGACGCTCTGGATTAGGCCAAAAAACGGGATTCGGGCTGTTCCAAATAGTAGAATTGCTGATTTTTTCGCAGAACCGCCGATTCTGATGATTCTTCACCGAGTCTGACCGATAATTTATTGATTCCGACCGATTCTTCACCCAGCCAAGCAAAAAAAAAAAGATGAACAGTTTTTTCTTGAATTATATTTTTAAAAAATTTGAAACAAAATTACCGATTCCGCCGATTCTTCCTATCCGATCCACCGATCCCCCGATCCGACACGGGTATGGGTGTGACCGATTCGAGTCACCGATCCGTTTTTAAAACCTTGGTCTAACGTGAAGAACAACTCTGAACAACTTATCCACAAAAGGGGTGAATCTCCGACTTTTCAATCTGTCTTGTACGTTCACGTCAAGTTCGCAGCACATCTATGACTTCCAATATTGTAATGGTTCTATTGTTTTAGCATATGCTCCTTAACCAACTGATGAAGAATGCAAGCTATAGAATGTGTATGAGGTAAACTAAGGCAGAGCCGAAGAGGGATGGTGTTCCCTTTGCCAAGTTTTGCTCTAGCCACCTTGTCAAAAGCTAGATAATCCGAGATGAGAGAAGACATTCAATGGCTTGCTAGTATTATCATTTTCTTTGAGGTCCGGAACCATCTCAGCCATTAGCAGCCATTATCATTTTCAATGGCTTGCTAGTATCATCAGTTCCAATGATGAGTACATTGGAAACACTCACCCTGTCAAGAGAGCTAGAGTTTCAACATCAATAGAATCTTGATGATCTAATGATCCTGTTGAATCTATCATCCTGAGCTATCATTCTCCCCATTGATGGTTTAGGCCAGTGATGAGCAGTTGTTTTTTTTTCCCCTCTTTTGATGGGTCCATTAAGTAACAGGTTTGGACCGTGCAGCTTTATTAGGCTTCATTATCCTTGACTTAGGAACCACAAAGATCACCGGAATACCTCTAAACTCTTTCTTTATTCACACACCTGACACGTGATATTATGGAGTCTCATGTCTTCTCATTAAATTTCCCACTTCTCAAACTTACACCTTAAAAACATTCTGTTGTATTCTCTTATCATTGAGCCCTTGCCTATACATTGTACAGGGCTTAAGTTACTGTTAACTATCAGAAAAAGAAAACAAGAAGATGGGGGGCGTGATCCAAGGGTTTATTAGGCAAAGAACCAACCTTGTATCCCAATAATCCTTTCCAAAACACTCTATCTACACCTAAGTGCAATTCCAATTGGAAGTCTTCCTCTATTTTAACCCTTCTAGTTTACTAGCACATCGGCATTTGAGGATCATGTTAAATATTGCCCATTAGGGTAATGGATTAAAATTTCCCCCATGCTTAACCGATAGGACCCCTGCAAAGATCTAGTAAATACCACCTCAAAATAAACAGAACAAAATTCCTAGGCTACGTAAAAATGACACGCATGTAGTGTGTGTTTGGGAGAATTTAGAATGACATGCATGTTGATATACAAGACACTTATATGGACAGGGGAAATCCGTTTTGACATGCATGTACGGTACTTTACATATTTTGGATTTGCAGCAGCTGCTATGTGGACACACGAACCCGCATTTGGATGAATATGTGCCGTGGTGGTTTTGTAAGACGTGTCCCTTTTGTGAGACACGTGGTCGCACATGTCTTGTGAGTTGGTCGTGCATGTCTTTGGTTTCGATCCACCTTTTTTTTGTTTCACATGAATTTGGTTATTAAAAAATCTCAAATCAATTATGTATATAAATATGTATAGATATGAATGGATTGTGTAAACTTCTATGGATGTGTCATACTGGACTTGGCAAAATATAAGTAGGTGAGTCTGATTCTTCAAATCCAAGTCAGACTGGGTTATTGTGTCCGTGTCCCTATACCATAGGTCCTAGATACTCATTTGTCCTTTCAGTTCAGTGTTTAGGGTTGTAAATTCTGTATCTATACATCCCCCTTCTAGGTTTGGCTTTATGGCAGATATAATGTGGAATTATCATCAGAGTCCTTCACAATATTTCTAGCAATCATGGAAGATTATAGTGGGAAAACCATGAGGTTCCTTGGCTCTTGTGTCTATATATATCAGAAGGTGCAGGAATTCTACCAATCCAACAGTGGCCAACCTCAGTCTCTAGCCTCTGCATCCCCCTTGTCACGAGCCAGTTACCTGCTCCTCCTCTTCTTTGTAGTCCCTTTACAAGCTAATTGTCATAATTGCATCAAATTATAGTAACCCTTCTTGATAAATACCAAATCCACTCTGTGTCATCATGAACTATATCATATTTTCAGCTCTCAATGGTTGGTTTTATTCTACTCACTAGCCTTTTGAAGTTTAAAACTCAGTTGAAGTAGAGTTGACCTTTTCGCATTGCCGATGCCTAGATCATGAGATGAATACATATTACAGCTGTATTTATTTTTACTTAACCATTGCATAAAGGGGGAAGGGTGATTCCCTCAAGAAAAGAAAGGTGATTTCAGAGAGGTTTATACCATTCAATACCCTCAAGTTGCATATTTTAAATTGATATATTCCTGATTTGTTTCTAAGTTCTCGTACTTGCAGCGATCGTTGGCTTTTTATGAGCAAGTTCTCTGGCACTGTGAACAGCTATTGCCAATTGTAACCTTAAGACAGCAATCATACTAGAAGCTTAAGAAACGAGTAGGTCATTAAAGGCCTCGCAAAAATGTTAAGAAAAATTATACGGCTTCACTCGAAATAAATAATACATTCAGTTATATATTGTCTTCTTTTGTTATTTTGAATGAATGCATTCCTATTGCTTTTGCCCTTTAAAGAAATGGTTATTTATCTCTATGGGCGTTTATACATTATTAATTGGGAGGGACATTTAATGGAGGCATGAAGTTAAAACTTTAAATTTTAATGAATGAAAAAGAAATAATTAGTGAAAAAGGAATAATTAGTGATATTTCCAATTGGGTTTGGCCTCCTGGGAGATGGAATTTAAAGAGGAGAGGATTTTATGAATATGTAAATACCGCATATGAAGCTTCAGGAATGTGGAAAGACCATTCAGGAGTTCAGCTAGGACTAAGAAGCTCGGTTGAAGAATTAGATAAAGGGGATCAGATTTGGTACAGGATATCGGAGTAAATGTTGAATTTGTGATGATCAGTTGAGTTGAAATCTGGAACTGGAAGTTTGTTTTCCTTATGGTAGGCTTTGGCTGGTATTTGGTGAAAAATGGGTGTGCTAGTAGTTGCCCCTTTGGAGGAACGGTCATGAACAGATGGAGGAGATGCTGGACATTATGAAGTTAATGGAGATAATTATGGGAACCAATAGTTTTTTGGCATTTGGAATTTTTGACTCTCTTGGAAGATATAGTAATAGGATGCACTCCGGTTATGGATTCTAATACCTTTCTATGAGTTCATGAAAGTCGATACAAGAAAACAAGTGGGAGTGAACTGAAGTGAGGATATTCCACTTTGTGAGGTCAAGATGAATGAGACCTTATCTAGATCTTTGATTTTCTTTTACATAGAACATTTAGCCATTTATTTATTTTCCATTTTACACTTTCTATGTGGGAAGGTGTAGAAATGGAGAAGGTAGACTACTTCTGTAGTCACAACTTTAAAAATTCAAAGAATTTTGTGTTTGTTGATTGAATGGCTTTAGATCCTTTCGTTTGGTTTTAATCAATATTGTTTATGAGAATGAAATGCAAACTCTTTTCTGTTGTGTTGTGGATGTTGGAGTGTATTTGATGGAATTGCATGTACTTTTCATTGTTCTTGGGGGTTCTTATATCAAAAGAATGGGATCGATTGGTCTCCTCTTGTCGTTTCTTAAATTGAAGTTTTTTGGCAATAGGGGAACCAAATGGAATGTGCTGCTTCTGGGATTTCTTTCGAGGTTCTCTTTTATTTTATTGTGACCTTGTTTAGAGAGAGTTTTTATGGATCTACGTGACAGCAAAGGTTAATATGGCAATATCCATTTTTTAGAATTTGGGAATATCTATTTTCTAGAATTGGGCTCAGCTTGGGAGCCCATGTAGTTGAGCTATTCTCGCTAAGTCTTGAGTTGGCTCAGTGTACATTGTCTGAGTAAGATATTCTTTAAGATGTTTTATTCTCTAAATATTCAAATAAAATTCTATAACGCAAATAGAACTACATTAGGAAGACTTGAATACTTGGAGTAATTTTGAGGAAAGGCTTAGTGAATTTCATCCTTCAAAAGTCTACATTGTAAAGGAGCTGGAGGTGATTAGTTTGACTAGGGCTAGCCTGTTGTGGAACCTCCTCTGTTTAAAACCTTTATTTTTTAAAACAGAAAAGAATCTGTCCTAGACGGTTGTGCCTAACAGTGGTTAAAAAAATCTTCAGGCGACTATAGATTTGTCCAAGTCAGTTCTGATCATGACCCTGGTGATTCCAGAGGACGAATCGTCCCGAGTTCCCTTTTTTAGTTTTCTATGTTAAAGTGTACTGACCCATGTTGAAGCGGGTCACTCATGCTTGGGGCCCAGTTGAACCTAAGCCGGAATTCGTGCATTTAATCACTGGTGTCTAGTTTTCCAGCCTGACTTTTTGCATTTCAAAAGGACATGCATCGTACAGACCCCAGCAATCAAAAATCCCTGCAAAAGCCCCTGGCAGCCTCCACTACAACTGTGATTGCTTTCTATGTCATTTCAAGAATAATTATGGGCTTAATAGTTCTGCATTTTTCCCCTGGTGGAATCTTTGATGCAAAAAGGATATGCATGCCATCTTTTCCATTGATGAAAATCAAATAGAAAAAGGACCTTCATATCATGCCATCTTACAATCTCATGATCCATATATCCCATTATACCATGAAACCTGCAAGCTTCGGTTTCTTGTAAAGAAATAATAAAGATCTTCATCCTTCTTGATGGTGGATAACAATCTAACCCTTGCTTGGTTTTGAACCATGATTCACTCTTGCCACAATGACATCTTTGGCAGCCGTTCCTTGGCTTGTCTAGGGCATTGTGTCCGTCTTGATGATGATGGTTACTTCCTCGACACTTTGATACAGTCCTTTCATGAAATTTTGTAAAACTCCAAATGCACAAACAATGATAAAATTATGGCTTTTTCCTTTGTTATACCTTTTATCCCTGTTATACCTTTAAATCTATGAAAATAGTAGTCATCGCGAGAGTATACTATCCATTTACTCCCTTGAGCAAACCTTACTCTAGGGATATCTTTTTGATCTCCAATTTTGGAGATGTGATCTCTAGAATCCTGCAAATGACCTCAAAGAAAAAAAAAAAATTCAACTCTCAGTCTCTATGTACCTAAAAAAATATCATCCCAAGATTTAACCGGGAAAGTGCAATTTTTGGAGGGAATGATGTAGATGTTTATGAACTCAAAATCTAATTTTTTTTCTTTGAAAGCAATCATCTAGTTATAACTAGATAGATCCTGAAACTTCAAATTAAAAAAAAAACTCCTAAGTTGGTGTTTTTCTTGAGGGGGTAAATGTATAGTATGCTCCCAAGCGAGAATAGTATACGCGCACAAATAGTATCTCTCTATGTAAGTTTAACACATACATATAGAAGCTAGAAATAATATTCTACTGACAATGTTTGGTGGGGTTGTTTGTTTATAATCCATGTTTCTTGTTCATCTAGTTTTTGGATAAAACTAATTTACTCATATTTAAGACAAATTGCATAAGGCCTGTGCTAGGCAAAATGAAAGGCTCTAGGAAGAAAGTACATCCCATTTGCCCTTACAATTAATTTAATGAAAGTATAAAACCCGTAGAATGGGGTGGCCATGTGTGGTGTAGACTCAGTACAACACCAGTTAGGAGGTGTGGGTTAGTTCAAGTGGAAGGCTCAAAAAGGGCATGGGTAGGCCCAAAAAGATATGGTTGGAAGTAGTGAGAAAGATATGGGGACTTATACCCTCACTGAGGTATGGCCCTTAATAGAGCAAAATGGCGGATCAGGATTCGTGTAGCGAACCCAATTAGTTGGGAAAAGGCTTTGACGATGATGGGGATGATGATAAAACCCGTATCCACCATGCTGGCCTCTCAAGTAACTTATACATGATCAATGTTTTAAAGATTACATTCTCCCATGGGAGCATATGGTCTATTCATTCCCTGAGGTACGACCCTCTCTAGACTGCTCTTGGAAACCCAAATTTTAGAGATGTAACCTCTTGAACCTAGATTCCAACCTTAAGAAAATCATATGCGCTCTACATCTGCCTGAAAAAAATAACTTCCTAGGACTGAATCAGATCAAAGTGTTTAGGAGCTCAAAATGGCCCTCTTTTTATTCATCTGGTGATTTTAAAGTCAATCTGGTGATTCTCTCTCACATCTAGGAAATCTTCATTAGTAGGTCCTTTCTCCGGGGAATAAGTGTAGCATGCTCCCATGGGAGTTACATGCTTGTAGAAAATTGGAAAGACGGGTGAAAGTTTACACTGTCAGCCAATGGCTTGCGTAAAATGAAACCCATTCACCAACGGTGGGATCTTGAGAAACATCTGATGGAGGTTGACAGCTAGGATAATTTGGGTTTCTAAACATGTTGAATCGAAAGCCGACTGGAATTGTGATGATCATTTGATAGTATGACCTTTTTAATGAGCATGTGAACTTGCAATCCTTTGTAGCGCTTCGACCTTGGCATTTAAAACATGCCTGTGAAGAAAGAATGCATATAAAAAATTTACATGTAGGAGTTCTTCATGTACTTAGGGCCCCATATTAGTCGTGGGACCCTGAAACACATTCAATCTTTTCCCATAGACTATGTTCCCATTGAAAGCTCTCCTCTTATGTAGTAGTGATGTCATGTCTGTTTTATTGAATCAGTCTCGCTTTTCCAAGCTTGCCCCTCTAAATAATCAGGTGTATTTCTCGTTAATTGCAAGAACCTTGTAATCATCTGGCATTCCCACTGCCAAAATGTTACTTGGCTCGTGACTGCTAATGTATTTACGCCTGCTTCTAGCTCATTAGCGCTTGTCGGATCATCCATGGCACATTTCTGGGCAGGAATTCTCCCTTTCACTCGTCCCATGGTTTGATCGAGCATCTAGAGGTTGGCATCTCCATCAAGATTCACGGAGGCCATTGTCACTTTGGCTTCTTCAGTCATGTTCCTCAGCGCACCAAACCTTGCCCCGTAGCCCACAAGGCCACAACACAATAAGTTCTTGAGCGCCTTCAGGCCAGGATCTGGTACTTTGATCTAGGGATGACACTTGCTTACTAGGTTCTTTGATTTACTGAGTTGATCTCCTTTTGGGTTCTGTATGTCGCTGCTGTTGGCAGGTCCATGATGGTGCAAAGCCGCATTCTGTTCCTGTTGTAAAGGACTTCCTGTGATTAAGACTACGTATTGGGTCCAGCTCAACTTATTTAGCCTGAAAAATGTTCATTAAGACTTCCCTAAACTTTGTGAATCACTAACAAGTGTCCAGCGGTGTTTGTTACCTCTCATCTATATTTTCCAGTTTTGAATTTCCATAAGCTTTTCATGTAACTTTTACCTGATGGTAAAAGCAGTTATCTGACATGATACCCTCGCAATGTTCCTTTTTCGCTCTCCACCCCTCACGAACAAAGTCTCCTTAATCTAAGTTCCCTCACATCAGCACTCAAAAAGAACATCCTCGGAACCATTTGAGTGTCAAATAAACTCATTTAAAATTTCAACCACCCTTTGTGTCATTGTGTTCTGTTTGTTGGCTTGTAATCTTGTTTAAACTAAAATGCTGGGATACATGTGTCATTCAACCTACAAACCTTTTTATGATAAGAAGATAAACGTTAATGGTCAATACTATGGTTTGACCCAACAACTTTACCTTCAAAAGATCAATCATTTTCTTGATATTAAGAAAGATATATTAATGAGTTAAGAAACTAAGTAAATATGTTTGTTGAGGCATCATTGTTTGCAAATATTTTATATTGAGAAATGTACATTGATTGTGTCTTAAGTCCTAACAGATTGCAAGCTTGCATTTGCAAGATATAATGAGAATGTTGGTTGTGCTTTATGGGGCCATGCCCCTTGTTATACTATATTTTATTATATTTTTCTTCAATTCATCATGTCTTATAAAAAAGAAAACATAACTCTAGTCAAGAGTGATTCAGTTTTATGTGGCATTCATGTCTTTCAGGGGATATGTTAAATTTTTTACTCTTTCATCCATGTCATCATGGCCACATGTGTTCGAGTCTCTCCGTGTCTCACTATACACACACACACACATGCTCAATGGGAACTGAGTTCTCTTCTTATTGTTTCCTTGCTTTTTGAAATTAATGAATACTATGGGAATTGAGTTATAAACAGCCTCCTTTTTATACCGGGTTTTACTCTTGTATTCATGGGAATTGAGTTATAAACAGGCTCCTTTTTACACCGGGTTTCATTCTTGGGATCTCTACCTTTGCTTCTGATTGTCGTTATACTTGGGAATTTTTGGAAAACAACTCTCTTACAATGAGGTTTTCTTGTGGGACATCTACCTTAGTGTTAAATAGAAGCGTCATTCAGCTGATCTCTGACATTGTTTGCACAGGATCCAGTCAACCCCACTTCGATAATCTGTGATGCCAAGCTTCAAGAGCTTTTTGGATGTGAAAACTTTTCTCGATTACGACTGCAAGATATGCTGGACCGGCATATCTTCAAGAGATGAAAGAGAAAACTCAACTGGCTCAACTGGTTAGTACGTTTAGCAATGCTATTTAGATTGTGCAAATTCAGTTTTCAGGTTTTACTTTTGAGTTGGGCCCTGGCCCTTGAAAATACTTAGCTGGCCCTCTCTTTTTCTTGTGTGTTTTTTTCTGACTTAACTTAAAATCATGCAATTAAAGATAGTTGCTCTCACGAAACCTTAATATGGGTCTGGCTTTTGCTCAGCTTGGGTACCGATCCAAGGCTGTTTGATATAGCCGTGCTCTCTGATTCACAAGCAAAAGGGTATTTGTATCTTGAATTGACGATTCCCTTTCCATTTGAATGTATATTTCAGTTGCTTTGTACCCTTTTGAATTTGTATCAGAATCTCAATTCTCATTCTCTAACTGCTGCAGACAGCTGTTTTTAATCAATTCAGGTTTGAGATTTTGAGATGGTGGCGGTCTTTTTCATGCCCCTTCTTCATGATTGTACTAAATGTTGTTTAACGGAGTTCCCCAACTCATCTATGCTATACAAGCCTGAAAACTCTATAATTGCTTTAAGAAAGCTTCACCAAGCTTGACAAGCTCCTTTCTCTTTCTGGTTTTTAACCCCTTTATGTGTACTAACGGGAAAACCCTTATCAATATAAACGTTGATGTAGACCTTTCTGGTTGTTAGCCCATTATATATCTGGATAAATTTTTTCCATATAAAATATTGATGCAAACCATGTTTTAAATTTTGGAGAATCTGAGTGGATCAGAAATCTGGTAAGTCTTCATGGCTGGTAAAACATAGTCAGTGCCGATGGTTTCTTATCCTTTTGCCAGCATCCTAAGCATTTTGAAATGCAATCCAATTATAGGGGAGTTCGTTTCAGTGGTCTGAGATCACTAATCAAGGGAAAGGAGGAAGAATGTTAGCAATTTTTAATGAATATTCCGGTGTTCTAAAACCCTGACCAACCTACCATACTGGTCACGAGCCAATGGATCCAGATTGGGAGTGCAGATTATAACCAGCCAGTTCTCTGATGAAAATTTATGTGGAATCTAAAAAAACAGAAAAATGATCTGGTTGTTACCGGCAGAGTCTTGGGGGTCTTTTGACTGGGACTGGTTACCTACTAGTTTTAAACCAGCTTTGGGAGTTTATTAACAAATCAAGCTAAACTTCGAAGATGTAGCATGTTTCATATGACATGTCAATCATATGGATACAAGGATTATGATTATTGCCATCTAACCCATTGATTGTACGCTGAGAGATATTTATATACTCTCATGGAGAGAGAGAGAGAGAGATCGGATCCATGAATCTGGTGTTGGAACCAGACCGCCGAACTAGATAGTCATGTTTAGCAGGTCCCACCAAAGAGAGAGAGAGTCATATTACTGGGTCCCACTCGTTTGTAACCATGCAACGTGTTCATTGCTTACGTAATGTCTCGTGACTCGGTTGCCTCCTGGTTCTAATTTCATTTCCCCCGGACTGGTCACTGGTGGATCCCTATTAATCGTAAGGAAGCTATTACAAAGGACACGGTTTCTACGAGTCCACTTTAAGAAATATATAAGAAATATATTTTTGAGATGGATTTTTGGACCTAATTTTTAAATCATGAATATGAAATAAATAAATAAATTTTAAAACTTAAAAATAATGATTTTATAAAAAAGAAAAAACATTTGGACCATTATTTCTAACTGTTTTTATATTGAACACTCATTCACAAAAGATAGATGCTTTATACCTAGGGGGACACAAATGTAGAAATGTGTCCACCACCTCTTGGAACAATTTTCCTAATAAAAATACTTTGAAAAAATATTTAACATTTCACCCTAGGTGTATTCTTGTAAATTCCAAGATCCATTTTGACGATAATTTTGAAAATTGATCAAAAGAATGATGAGCAATTTGGAATGAGTAATGATTTTATGAAACCTTCTCACACCTATGTGTGTAGGACAGCAAAGGATCTTCATTAAATTTGGCACAAATATTTAGAAAAGTTGTTACATAGGTGTGGGACTTGATTTTTTTGAAGATATGTGCTAAATTTAATGGTAATCTTTTGGGTCAAACACATGGGTGTGGGAGGGTCTCATAGGATCATTACTCGTGGAATTAGATGTGCAATGGAATCAGATGCGCAAGTATGCGTAAAATGTTAAATAGTTTAAATCATAGGTGTAGGTTGATAAATTTCTCTTAATAATTATAGCATGATAAATTGCGGAATATCTGCCTACCTAGGTATGCATAGGAGGCACTTCTATGACTAATGGTTGTGATGCACTATTATATGCATGAATGGTGTACCCATTTCTCAAATGGCCAATGCATGGAACTATTATCCTTTTTTTTTTCTTGGCCAATGGAATGGTACTTCAGAAGAAGCATTGCTACCATTAACTAATAATCATTTAAGCTCAAGCGTATACCTATTATCCATCTATTAATTATTAATCATTAATAATTAATTACAGAAAAGAACCATGTCCAATGAAACAAAACGTTAAATGTTTTTTAAGTTCATCTGCTTGAAGCATTGAAGAACCATGACCACGAAGGTCGGCTGTGACATAGAGATACTCCCATTACAATGACGCTTTAACCACCCAAAATTTATAAAGGAAGAAAAGCTTATACAAGACAACCCACCTTACACAACAAAAATATTAAAAAGAAAAAAAAAAAACTCAAAAAAGGTTGTTCTAACACTGGAAAACCTTCAAATTGATCATCGATCTCAAGATATATGGATATGAAAGAAAAGAATGATTCCAAGTCGAAAAAATAGGATATTTTGTAATATGTTATTTAAATTGTCTATTTTTAAGATTTACAAATATTTATAGATATGCTTGCTTTGTATAAATTTTGGAGCTAAAATCTTATAATATGGGTGGAGATATATTTCCAGTCCAATGTAAGGGATTTTGACAGCAAAACTGTCTTCTAATAAGATTTGGAAGTGCGCCTTGCCTTGCTTTGATTGCTCAAGAGTCCTTGAAAATATCGGTAAATTTTGCTTGATTTGACATACGACATTTGATTTCTCGATGAATTTGAGTGAGGATAACAACTTAAAATATATGAAAATTTTAAATTATCATGATAACATGCACTGCTTTGAAGTTGAATACAAGGGTGGCAATGAGCCTGGCCAGCCTTGTCCCCACAGGTGTGGCCCTGGTAATTTAGGGCTTGGTCCAAAAATGTGGGGACCGGCCCTGGTCCGTTGAGGGTTTGGTCAAAAAATGAAAAAAAATAAAAGAAAAACAAGAAACAAGGAGGGTCGAGCCGGCACTCCGTAGCCCGGCCTTGGGGCCCTAATTTGGAGCCCAGCCCTTCTTTTTTAGGGCAGGGAATAGCAGTGCCAGCCCTTGTTGCATGAAGTAAGATGAGCAATCGTTGTCGCTGTTGTGAAAAAAAATGAGACAGCCGCAGAGTGCACCAACCATTTAGTGGTGGTCTAAGAGAAGCACAAAGCAAGTTCTGCATATCAAGAAAACCCTTTTCTCAAAGCAAGCTACACAACAAAGTTTTACTGCAAACCACTTTCCCCATAAAATGCAGCTCTTCTTCCCTTACCGAGGTGCAAACCGTGACCCTCACGTCCCTATAAAAGCCCTATCACCTCATGCATGGAGAGAGAGAGAGAGAGAGATGGGTCGACTTACAGTAATTGCAATAGTGGTGTTAGTGATTGTGGAATTTGGGAACGGGATGGAGATCTGTGGAATGGATTCAGGGGAGTTGCAGCAATGCTTGCCTGCCATTAGGGGGCCATCGCCCTCGGCCCCAAACCCTGGTTGTTGCTCGACCATACGCAAAGCCGACCTTCTGTGCCTTTGCTCCTACAGAGACTCTTTCCTCCTCCCTACTTTTGGGGTCGATCCTAAGCTTGCCATGGCCCTCCCTAGGGAATGTCATCTCATCCCTCCACCCCAATGCGAAGGTAGTATGCGTGCTCTCTCTCTATTCAACTATGTGGTAAACATTTGTTTGGTTTGAGCGAGGAAGATCAGAAGACGCAAACAAGCTAACTCACTATCTGAAATGCATGTCTTCATTCCCACTGGCTCCTTGTCCCTCGTACTTTAATGCACCTCACAAATACATATTTGATAAATAAATAAAGGGTTATCTTAGAGTGTTTACATTAATTTATTATTGTACTCAATAAATTTTGGATACTTCAATATCTTTATTTTGTATATAGATTATTCTTTTAATAAATTTTTTTTTTTTCATCTACATGAGATGTGACAAGATATACATATGGCACGGTAGTACATTTAAAGTTCCATATAAGTGATGTTACACCTTATGTAAATAACATCATACCCCTCCTCATCACTAAAAATACCCTTACTAAAAAAAATTCTATGTACAAAATGAAGGTATACGTCCAATTTTGTTGAATACAATGACAAATTACTCTATAGTGTGAGTACCCTAACATAATCTATAAATAAATAAATAAATGGGTTATTTACGTATAGACCTTAAATAAGTAAGAAAAATATGATTTGTTATCTCTTTATACTTAAAAATTACAATCCTGGTTGGTCAATGCAATTTTGGGTTTGGAACAATCATCTAGGAAATCCTCGCAAACACATGTTTGATAAATAAATCAATAAAAAAGAATAGTCTGCTAGCATTTGGGTTTGGAACAGTCATCTTGCAAATCGTCAATCGTCCGACAAGGATAATGTATGGTTGGGGAGTTAGCAGCAGAGTCCTTCAAATCAAATGTGTTTTGCTCATTCACTGACAAACCGTATATTTGTTTTTGGTTTCGTTTCCGTTTGGTTTATGATATTTTTTTTGAGATTGTATACTATGAGATCATTTATTTTTTGTATAAGAAGGTCGCAATCATTTTTAGATATTGGATGAGAAATCCAATAAATGAAAGTGTTATAAGAAATTTTGTTTTGGACTTTGTGCTTAAACAATGACACATCCTCAACCGCCCGATTTCAAATCTAACGGTCAATGTTGATTGTGACTTTCTTGTATCAAAAGTAAATGATTTAATTGTATACATTTCAATTTTTTTTTTTTTTAATGAATTTTTGTGAGTCAGTATTATTACTAATTTCATATAACACTAAAAAATATGCACTACCCATCGGCAAAATCGATTTTTTTTTTTTTTTTCGGTTGGCTGAACCCGCCCGCCTCTTCTTATCAGCTACTAGGTTTTCATCTAAACTTGGTGGGCAAGGTGTCTCGTATTCAAGTTAGTTGAAGGCCTGCCTTGTCATTGCCTTTCGCTGGCAATTTTTACAGCCTTATTTTTTAAAAAGTAATTGTGTTTTCACTTTCTTTGGAGTTATTTTTTTCATGGGGGGAGTATAACGTGATACAAACGTGTACCCTCAGCAGACAATGTATTCATCAGATAAACCATTAGTCCTGCATGAGCAATGGAGCCAGCCGTTCACCTCCACCATCAGTGGCTCACACGACATACCTTTTTCTTTTTGATTTATGTACCATACATATTTTATCCTACATGCACCATAGGGTGCAGTACTTTAATTTCAATTGCTATTATCCATTG